GTGCGCCGCGTGCGTGTACGTGGGGTCTAAATGGCGGGGTGAGGTCGGAATGGCGGGGCGGGGCAGGGCAGAAACTAGCGAGCGTTGTAGGTCCAGGGCCGGCTTTATGTTTCCAGGCGCCTGGGAAGCTAGTGTGGCGACCTGGGCCGGAAATCCGCTTTACAGCCTGGCCCACAACCCCGTCCGGCTGCAGGATCTGGGGTTCCTCGCCGCTACTCTCCGCCCAGCAGGACGGCGTGATCCTAACCTCCCAGCGACACGGCCGAGTGCAGTGCTTCTTTCTCCCTAGGGTTATCCCTTAATAACACATCTCGCGCCGCCGGATCCCTCACTGCCCCGCGCCCCTCACCTTTAACATTAGCTGCACTGTGGTAGGCGAATTGTCCAGCCTGGAAGTTCAAAACAGTGAACGAGCGAGGAGGCAGCAGGGCCCCTTCGCTTTCCGTAGTGGGCGGGGCTTCAAACCTTGGTTTTTAAAGGAAAAGTGACGTGAGGCGCTGTGCCTTTCAGTTAGTGGAAGAAGCTCCCCCGAAAAAAAGTGCAGGCGTGGGGAAATAACTTGATTTCTGCCACTCCAGCAGTGAGCATAGGTCGAACTTTTGCAGCAATCAGAGCGTCACTTTGACTAGTTACACAATAGCAATCTTTTTATTTAATAAAATATTCAAAGTTTCTGTTGAAAGCCTGAGTTAGGGTGAGCACTGTCCCCAACTTACAGGTGACTCTCGTTTCCTGACCACGCAAGTGGAGAAAAGTGGTGATGGTTCTGGGGAGAGTTATATTCAGGTGCTGCTAGAATTGAAAGTTCTAACAGGTTATCTACCCAGAGTTATTAACGGATTTCCCAGAGTCAGAGAACAGCCAGCCCTGAATCCTGGGTGTAGTCGGCTGCCCATGTCTTTTCCACTGCCTCTTCTTGGGCCTACCCAATGCCATCACGCTGCTTGACCGCCAAATCCTCTATTGGAGTAGTGTCAACCACCTGCAACCTCTCTGTTCTTCAGTAGGAAATTCCTCAGTGGTAGAGTGAGAATCTGCAGACTGGCCTTGGTGAAGCCATCCTATGGGGAAATCTTTACATCCCGCGTACAAAGAGAAGCTGTAGCATTTACTGACTATCTATTAGCCAGCTGTCTTATATAATTATCATTGTTGTCTTATTTAATTATCAACTCCTTGAATCAGATATTACCTCTTTATTCGTTTATTTATAAGGAAGCTAAATCCGCCTTAAATAAGTGCTCGAAAGCAAAGACCCAGTCTCCTCTTCTTCAGCAGATAACAGCATCTGGCAAGTTAGGCTCATAATTGATGATGTGGTAAACCCCAAGGCATCCCTTTTGTGTGACCCCAAAGTCTGACGTTAGTGCCTGCATGTTGGCTTTTCAAGCATTCGAGATTCATTTTATTCTATCATAGTTCTTCCTTAATACTAGGATATACAGTAAATATAGAAATAGAGTGAGTAGCACGATGCCTTGGGAAATGGTGCTCAACAGTTATAAGTGCCCACATTTATGGTAACATTTACTAATGTACCAGACACTTAAGCGTGCAAGCACTTAATTTATTGAGTTAATACTCAGGATAACCTCATGAACTAATTTCTAGTATTAGCCATTCACACATGAGAGAATGGAACATGAAGAAATTCAGTGATTTGTTGAATTTTATACAATCAGCAGAATCGAGAATTGAAAGAAGGGGAAGAAAATAAAAAACAAGAACCCAAGCAGTCTTGTGCCAGAGTTGGTGCTCTTAACTCTAATGTTCTTTATGCTGCATACTAAAGTAGTGACTGAAAAAGTGGGGCAACAAGTCCCTGAAAATATTAAGTAAAATATCTAAAGGAATTGAAGCATTTAAATATTCAAACAAGGGACTGTCAATTTGATAAGATTATGATTTAAAGCAATTCACACCAAGTAGTCACTGGTAACTGAAGCTGCCTATATCCTACTGTTTGTGACCCTTCTTGAAGGCACATGTGTCCAGAGTGGGTGATTTGGGCAGCTGTCCACCTGTCACTGTCAGATGTCTCCAGCACCTACAAGATGGTGGTTTCATGTTCCTGGGAGGAGACAAGCAGAAAGGGATGGATATTACAGACATACCCTCGATGGAGAGAACCCATTTTCATGTCTTGAACTCGGCTCTAACCTCCAGCTGAAATTGGACATGGCTGCTTTTAAATCCTCATTAAAATCTCTGAGCTTATCTTGGTGGTGGCAGATTTTGAAAACCCCTGACAAAAAGATAACACATAAAGTGGGCGACTGGCTCTTCCCAGACCCTTCCTACATTTGTGGCCTCTATTTGTTAAATAATAATTTTTTCAGGAAAATAGTTACTGTACCACAGATCTGTAAACTGTCTGATTCATTATGTACGTAGAAGGGAACCCTTAGACATATATAGAGCTTTTCCAGTTGTCATTGTTTCTTCCCATAATGTATGCACAAACACACACAAAGCATAATTCAGTAAGACTCAAGTCCTAGTGGCTCTAAAACTACATTTTCCACCACATGGTAATTTCCATGATAGGTCCATTGACTTTCTCAGTGGATACATAAGTGTTTTGCTCTAGTAAAGCATTAATTGAAATACCCCATCCCTTCCTTACCTGGCTTTCAAAATTCTTTCTCTATCGACCAATACAGAAGGAAGTTTCCAAAATGGAGAGGCGTGTAAGATTCAGTTACTTAGCCTAAGGTCCTTAAGGTATATAATACATCAGTCCCACAAAGGAATTATTCTATGGGTGAAGTCTTCAAAAAAGTATTAACACTATGTGTTTTCATGATGTCACAATGGCTGTAACAGTTTTAAGCAAGTTTTATACTAGTAAAAATTATGGACTTACTGTAAGGTCACATGATGCTATACAGTCTTTGGGGGTTCACATAGTCAGCAAATTCTTCAACATGTAGTTGTTTATGGATTACAGTTGGTTTGTATAATTTCCCCTAAGATTATTATCTTTTTATGAGGACAGTTTCCTTAAAATAGGGAAATTGAAGTATCTTATGTGTGAGAGCCTAAGTAATGCAACTAAATCTAGCTGTGAAGTTATTTTAAATGGCAGCAACTCTTTCATTATGGTGCCAGTTTAGTAGCTAAGAGAACCATGCCCTCCTTAGTTTTTTTCAAGAAAATATGGAGAGCAAGATTTGCAAAGGGCTTTTGCAGAATGTTAAGAAACTCATTCAAAATTTCCTAAAGGTGTTCTCAGCCCAATACTGTGTATCTGTTGTCATAAACCATTAGCATAAACTTTGGTCATTTTTTAATCATTTAATGAAAGTAATTCCCATTCCATCATAGGACATGATGAAAAACAATAGTTAGGACATGAAACCTTACAAGACCTTCAGTGTATACTACTATGGAAATCAAAATGCAACAGGACCGAGTTATCAGCCAGCATATTATGTCTGAAATGCAGCCCAATACTGTTTTTAAATGCCCGTATGAGGTCTCCTAGTTACTTGCTATTTAAGGAAATATAATATTAGTGATGAATCACATTTGTACCTACTGTTTTCTATCTTTGAGGCAAATAGAATTAAAGGCAAACTATTCCATTTTGGAAAGTTGCTCGAGTGTGGAGTTTTCCATGTTTACTGTATTGGGAAGACTTACCATTGTTCATTGGAGTCATTGTTTTGGTGCTTTGCCTCCTGAAAGTTGCTAGGTTCCCCTGAAAAGATTTTAAAGGCTGCTTTGTTGGCAGACTAGGATGCATCCATGACCTTACCAAAGTGGAAATGAAAGCTCTCAGTTTTTCTTCTTTTTTTGGCAACAGTAAATCTACTAATTTTACAGTCAGTTGAACAGCAATAGATTAATTTGTGTAAAGTCTGCATTCACAAAGGAAACCTGAACTTCAGTGGTTTGAATGCCTGAAATTGCAGTGTGATTTTTGAAGAGTAGACACTCTTACAACTTGCTCTAGAAAGATGCAGGCAGGCCACTGTCACCTGCTTCTCAGCACAGGTGCTGACCCCTCGGTCGATGAGGGGCCTCCTGACAGGATAGCAGGAAGTCTGGGCCTTTGTGTGTGACAGAGGAGCCTTTTCCAATGCTAGGGCCAGTTTTCTCCAGCAGCCTCAGGAAGCAGAAGAAAGGAGAGGTGAAGGTCACCACAAGGGTCACAGAGGGTTAAATTTAGTTAACATCAGAGGTTATAGCTTTTAACAAGAGCTTCAAGAAAACTTCTTCGAATATACAATTTGTTTCTTCTTTGTCCACTGTTATTTTTTTTTTACCCTATTGACAGTGACAACAAAGTTTTTACATGCTAGAGGTTTTCATCCTTTAGAGAATAAAGAGCTGTGTTCTTAAAAAGAGATGCAGGTGGAGGGCTTTTATAAAGCTTCCATGATTTTCAAATTGGGAGCTTTAAAATAGGCTCCCTGCTTGGCTCAGTCAAAAATAATCTGTGAGGGACATTGAAAAAAATCCCCATTTGAAATGGAGGGATGCTTTAGCAGTCAGATGCAAAGGCTCAAGCTTCTAGAAGGTTCTTTGTGTGTATTTTTCTGTGGGACATCCTTGCATAGATTTCCCAGTTGTTACTCAGAATTACCAAGGAGGCCTTGTCTGAAATTTCCATGGGTATCTTTCTTTAAATTTAGAGCACAATCCTGAGCAGAATGAATTACTGTATTTCTACACAAAAAGATGACTAAGATTCTGAACTTATCTTTTTTACTCTGTTTTATAATCCAGTTACTCCACATTTTCTGTTCACAGGCTGAATTGTTATGGAAATTGATCTGTCAGAAGAATCAGTTATAACCCAGCCTTTTAACTGGACCTATGTGATCACTTACAGCTTCTGTTGAGTGTCCCCCATTACACTACAGTGTC